CTCGCTCATCATTGAGGCTCTGCATACGGACTCTCCCGACGACCTCACCACAGGTAACTGTCCCGAAACAGACTCTTCCCTGGAATAATCCCAGTCCTGCGGCCCCACTCGGCCCCTCTCTCTGCAGTGTGCAGCGCATTCCCCCCATCCCATCCCTGCTCCTCTTCAGGAGACCACGGGAAGAAAGGCCAACCTGTTGGCACACAGCCCTATCATCCTGGCACTGCGGTTCCCCTCCCACCAGAGACCCCCAGCTGAGCATCTTCCTACGCCCCTGCCTGCTTCGAGCTCCTTAATCACACCTTTCCTCTCCACTTTCACACAGAAAACCCCGAGCGCCTCATCAGCCGCCTGGCCACCCAGAGGCACTTGGCGGTGGGTGAAGAGTGGTCTCAGGACCTGCACAGCAGTGGCCGCACTGACCTCAAGTACTCCTATCGCTTTGTGTGCGACGAGCACTACTATGGAGAAGGCTGCTCTGTCTTCTGCCGCCCCCGGGATGATGCCTTTGGTCACTTCACTTGCGGAGAGCGTGGCGAGAAAGTCTGCAACCCGGGCTGGAAAGGGCAGTACTGTACTGAGCGTGAGTGTCCACCTTGTTGTCTCCCTGGGCGCCGGTTGCAGCAGTGTCCCCTGAGCTCTTGGGGGGGCGTTTCTCTGACATCAGGCCCCATGGGAGAGGGGGAACCAAGCTACAGTGGGTGGAGGTCTGGTTCTGTGTACAGGCTTTACTGGTGCGGGGGACGGGAGGTCCTCAGCATTGCCACAGAAAGTTAACGCAGACAGCCCCTTCTCAAGCTAATAAAATGTCAGTGCCAACATTACACTCTTGCTCATTTGCTGTAGACATCAAATCTGACAGCAAAACGTTCAGCAGTTGCTTGAGGATTGATGACAATATATCAGGACTACTTTTTATACCTAGCAACCCCTTCACCCATGGTACATTGATATCATCATCTACAGGGTACATGGCTTCAGGAGAGGGAGCTAGGCTTTGGCAACATCCATGCAGCAGGCCTACTGGTAGGCTTGTTATGGTCCGATGTCTTGCCACCTTGTATTGAGAAAAGTATTGCGAGGTCCAAGATATTCTCTGTGGCCTCTAGACTGTACATTTCTCATTTGGGGTACTCATAAACTGCCACTAACAGAGGTTGTTGCACCTGGAGCCACAAGAACATTCAACTTCTTCCCCATCTCTCTTCCGTGCCATTGCCATGATCTTTACTACTAATACAGTAGTGAAGGACATGAGTTTTAAAGTACACCTGAGCTTGAAGTTGTTGAGGAATGTGGTGTGTTGATACAGCAGGAAAAGCTGGGACAGTAAGCAGATAACTGAGAGGATAGTCAGGGATGTCAGATACCTGCAGCTTTGTACAAGATTACGGCCCTTTGTAGATACATAGCGGTGTACACCCAAACACGCACACAGAGCTCCTGCTGCAGGATGTGATGGCATTCTCTGTGTGCATACATGGATCTGAAGTACGCTGGCAGATGACGTGCTGGGCGAGTGCTCCCTTCCAGTCATCAAAGGGCCAGGCAGGCAGGGAGAAAACAGTTAGAGGCTGTAAAGCAGCCTCTCGGTTTTCTTCTTGTTGCGTTTTTGTTTTTCTTAAGGCCCACCTACACTGTGGTCTCAGCTGAGCTGCTATCGACCGAGCCCAGATTGATTATTCACACTCTTAGTGACTGTTAGGATGCTTTCAGCAGTTCATGGTACAATGTTGCACAATAAACAGCAGGCAGAGGGGCTCGCATTTCCTTTGATAGTGTTTTAAATAGGAACTACAACCTTTCCCATGATCAAAAGTGCCTAGCCCAGTTGTCTCAAGGGGTGGGGGAAAAGGAAGCATTTTGATAATGAGCTCTTCTGGGGCTGTCAGCACTTTCGGATGCCTGTACATCACTGCTCTTCCCATAGCAAAGTAGAAGGCTGGCTGTCTTTCTTGACTCGTTACATATGCTCTTTGCTCTGCTTTCCCTCTCAGAAAAAAACAGGTTATAACAGCAATGCAAACCTACTAGGCAGGGGAGATGCATTTATGCGTGCATGCAAAAGGAATGTTTTGCCGTTAGTGAGTGGAGCTGCCAGTTGCAGATTGCATCCCGTCGCCTTGCCCCCAGCTCCATTCTTTCCAACTTGGAGGCGATCTGATTATCAGCGCCGATTCTTTCTTTCTTTT